ATTACACAGCAGTGGACTGACACCAGTGCCATAGTACTATCGTTCATTGAATTTTTCAGATTGTCTTGTAAGGCGTAGCATTTTCATTTTAGCATTCATTTCAAGCCAAGCTAGTCCACTAAACAAAGCCTTTGCAACTTTAAAAGGCTGCAGTATTGATATCAATAAATTATTTTACCATCAATATAAGTAAGCACTATAAAAATAATTATAATATAGTCCTGTAGTAGAACAATACTAGGAAAAGCAAACAGCTAGTACTAGGAAAATTGAACTTTAGGGAAGCACGTGTTTTTAAGTGCTGTGTTTACATGGACATGAACTGAGAAAAATTGTATAGTCGATATCCATATGTTTTATTTATATTAATACTTCTTTTATCTCAATTATAACATAACAAATATACAATTTAAGTAAAAATAAAATGTTAGCAATTTTTTAAAGAAGAGAATCCAGAATTGACGTTCCATCGTCAGTGATCTACAACAGGGGTCGGCAAACTTTGGCTCCGGCCTGTCAGGGTAACCCACTGGCGGGTCAGGACATTTTGTTTTCCTGGACTGTCCGCGGGCACGGAGCCCCTCAACTCTCCGTGGCGCAGCTTGCCGTTCCCAGCCAATGGGAGCTGCAGCAAGCGGCGCGGGCCAAGGGACTTGCTGGCCGCCACTTCCCGCAGCTCCCATTGGCTGGGAACGCCTAACCACAGCCACTGGGAGCTGAGGGGCTCCATGCCTGAGAATGCTCCAGGTAAACAAAACCAAAATGTATTAGATATTCAATTCAATAACTCAATAAAGCTTAAAATCATCCAATTTTGGTGTAGACGAGTTGATAATATGACCCCCGCTCTTTGATGCTTCACTTTTTTACCAAAAAAAATCAGTTTATGAACGAGTATATACGGTATTTCACTGGCGGTCAGTTCCAAATTTCATCCAGGTCTTGGGAAATGCAAGTACTTTCCACAGGATGGTTCTATTTGCCTATGTGACAGGTAGCATCAGTCCAAGTCCTACTGGGCAGAGTCACAGCACAATGTAGTGACAGGTCAATGACTGACTAGGACTACTGTACTCCACAAAAGCCACTGTAGGAAGGGAAACCCGAACTCAGGTCTTGACATATACATGTAAATGAAGGAACTGATTTTCAGATGGTTGGTTTACTATCTATTGAGCGGAAATATTTAAACTATACATATTCCTGTAATTATTTGGTTTCTGAAACAGATTCAGTTATTTTAAAAAATACATTACTTATCCTATAAAAAACAAACAAAAAAAACCAGTGTCAGAAGACAGAGAAATGGATTAAAAAACAAAGTGTATACTCGGTTTACTGAAAAGAGGGCAGATTGCTTGTCACATTGCCTTAAAGTACTAAACACCTCTCAAAACACTGACTTCAAATTTGTATTCTGTTCATTTAGAATCCAGTGCTCTGACATATAGCAAGAAAACTCCCATAAGCCTTACAAATGCTAGTCCTACTTTCAACAAGTGTTAGCAAAACAACAAGAAGAAACAAAAGTTGTGGCATTAACAGCACGTGTGCCAATATCGTTGCTGCTTTTTATTGCAACCCTTTTCCTTGCTAAAGTAGTTTGTTTAGCTTAGTTGCTCTTTGCTCTCTTCCTTGCCTATAAAGCGCCTAGATACTGCTGAATCTATGTAAATAGGCATAAGAACGGCCATACTGGGTCAGATCTAAGGTCCATTTTGCCCAGTATCCTGTTTTCCGACAGTGGCCAATGCCAGGTGCCCCAAAGGGAATGAACTGAACAGGTAATCATTGACTGATCCATCCCCTGTCGTCCATTCCCACTTCTGGCAAACAGAGGCTAGGGACACCACCCCTGCCCATCCTGGCTAATAGGCATTGATGGACCTATTCTCCATGAATTTATCTAGTTCTTTTTTGAACCCTGTTATAAGTTTATGGAGGGGATGGTATGATGGAATCACCTAATTCTGGCAATTAATTGATCTTTGACTATTAGCGGTAGATATGCCCAATGGCCTGTGATGGGATGTTAGATGGGGTGGGATCTGAGTTACTACAGAGAATTCTTTCCTGGGTATCTGGGTGGTGAGTCTTGCCCACATGCTCAGGGTTTAGCTGATCGCCATATTTGGGGTTGGGAAGGAATTTTCCTCCAGGGCAGATTGGCAGAGGCCTTGGGGTTTTTTTGCCTTCCTCTGCAGCATGGGGCACGGGTCACTTGCTGGAGGATTCTCTGCCCCTTGAAGTCTTAAAACAACGATTTGAGGACTTCAGTAGCTCAGACATAGGTTAGCGGTTTGTTACAGGAGTGGGTGGGTGAGATTCTGTGGCCTGCGTTGTGTAGGAGGTCAGACTAGATGATCATAATGGTCCCTTCTGACCTTAAATTCTATGATTCTATAGTCTTGGCCTTCACAACATCCTCTGGCAAAATACTTCCTGTTTGTTTTACACCTGCTGCCTATTAATTTCATTTGGTGACCCCTAGTTCTTGTGTTATGAGACCGAATAAATAACACTTCCTTATTTACTTTCTCCACACCAGTCATGATTTTATAGACCTCTATCATATCCTCCCCCAGTCACCTCTTTTGCAAGCTGAAAAGTCCCCGATTTATTAATCTCTCCTCATACAGCAGCCGTTCCATACCCCTAATAATTTTTGTTGCCCTTTTCTAAGTCCAAAATAACTTTTTTGAGATGGGGCGACCACATCCGCATGCAGTGTTCAAGATGTTGGTGTACCATGGATTTATATAGAGGCAATAGGATATTTTCTGTCTTATTATCTATCCCTTTCTTAACGATTCTCAACATTCTGTTCGCTTTTTTGACTGCCGCTGCACATTGAGTGGATGATTTCAGAGAACTATCCACAATGACTCCAAGATCTCTTCCTTAAATGGTAACAGCTAATTTAGGCTCCCATCATTTTATATGTATAGTTGGGATTATGTTTCCCAATGTGCATTACTTTACATTTATCAACACTGAATTTCATCTGCCATTTTGTTGCCCAGTCACCCAGTTTTGAGAGATCCTTTTGTAGCTCTTCGCAGTCTGCTTCAGACTTAACTATCTTGAGTAGCTTTGTATCATCTGCAAATTTTACCACCACACTGTTTACCCCTCTTTTCAGATCATTTATGATTATGTTGAATAGGACTGGTCCCAGTACAGATCCCTGGGGAACACCACTTCTCTCAATTCTGAAAACTGACCATTTGTTCCTACCCTTTGTTTCCTATCTTTTAACCAGTTACCAATAAATGAGAGGATGTTCCCTCTTGACAAGGCCATGACAGCTTACTTTGCCTAAGAGCCTTTGATGAGGGACCTAGTTATCAAAGGATTTCTGAAAATCTAAGTACACTATATCCACTGAACCCCCCTGGTCCACATGCTTGTAGACCCCCTCAAAGAATTCTTTAAGACATGAATAGACATGTGTCAGAAGACAGAGAAATAGATTTAGAATCCCATTTATTCATGTCTTTTAACTCAGACAACATCACCAGCCTTCTCCAAATGAGATAAAGATGGAGAGTCAGGGAGTGGGACACAGCCAGCCTCACCAAATGTATTAGGCCTCAGGCAGCAGGATCATAGAATCATAGAATCTCAGGGTTGGAAGGGACCCTCAGGAGGTCATCTAGCCCAACCCCCCGCTCAAAGCAGGACCAATCCCCAACTAAATCATCCCAGCCAGGGCTTTGTCAAGCCTGACCTTAAAAATATCTAAGGAAGGAGATTCTACCACCTCTCTAGGTAAAGCATTCCAGTGTTTCACCACCCTCCTAGTGAAAAAGTTTTTCCTAATATCCAACCTGAACCTCCCCCACTGCAACTTGAGACCATTACTCCTTGTTCTGTCATCAGCTACCACTGAGAACAGTCTAGATCCATCCTCTTTGGAACCCCCTTTCAGGTAGTTGAAAGCAGCTATCAAATCCCCCCTCATTCTTCTCTTCCACAGACTAAACAATCCCAATTCCCTCAGCCTCTCCTCATAAGTCATGTGTTCCAGTCCCCAAATCATTTTCGTTGCCCTCCACTGGACTCTCTCCAATTTTTCCACATCCTTCTTGTTGTGTGGGGCCCAAAACTGGACACAGTACTCCACATGAGGCTTTACCAATGTCGAATAGAGGGGAACGATCACGTCCCTCGGTCTGCTGGCAATGCCCCTACTTATACATCCCAAAATGCCATTGGCCTTCTTGGCAACAAGGACACACTGTTGATTCATATCCAGCTTCTCGTCCACTGTAACCCCTAGGTCCTTTTCTGCAGAACTGCTCCGAGCCATTCGGTCCCTAGTCTGTGCATGGGATTCTTCCGTCCTAAGTGCAGGACTCTGCACTTGTCCTTGTTGAACCTCATCAGATTTCTTTTGGCCCAATCCTCTAATTTGTCTCGGGCCCTCTGTATCCTATCCCTACCCTCCAGCGTATCTACCTCTCCTCCCAGTTTAGTGTCATCTGCAAACTTGCTGAGGGTGCAATCCACACCATCTTCCAGATCATTTATGAAAATATTGAACAAAACCGGCCCGAGGACCGACCCTTGGGGCACTCCACTTGATACCGGCTGCCAACTAGACATGGAGCCATTGATCGCTACCCGTTGAGCCCGACAATCTGGTCAACTTTCTATCCATTTTATTTTTATTTTATTTATTTTTCTGTCTTTGGAAGTTGCCAGTGAAAGGAGTTTTGCTTAAGTTTTTCTTCTTTGGTATCAGTGAGGAACCAGAAGATCAGACCACTACTCAAGGCCCCTGGAAGTCTCCTGCTTTACGAGGTCCCAAGAAAGAAGACAGAGACCAGTACATATCTGTCAAACCACTGGGTTTCCTCACATGCTGGGTAACAATATTTTTTTTTCCCCCTTGCTGTTTTGTTTTTCAATTAAAATAACAGAAAAAAAGCATGTTTTGAAAGGAACCAGACAGGCAACACGGAGAATACTCACAATACGTGAAAGAAAATACATACTTGTTTGACAAAATCCACAGTTCAGAGAGCGTTGGAGACAAAGAATATTTTTCATAAATGTCTCGTGAGAAAAACACTTCAACACCATTTTTTGGTGAAACATTCCTGTTTTTTTTTAAAAAAAAAAGACAACATGTAGTTGCAATTCAATCTCACAAAACACAGCACTGACTATATGGTTACTGACACCAACCTAAGAACAATATCTAAGTGACCGAACACTCAGAATTTGAAAAATGACTCTTTGAATCACTCAGAAATAAGGTATATAGTTCTGTGTGAAAAGGGGGAAAATGTTATCTAAAATGTTCACATCCTCCTCCCCCTCAGACAGATATAAACCCAATGGTTCATTTCAACATTAAAATGAACTTGTTCCTCACTATTCAAAAGAAAGCTTACAGATAGGATGGGGTACATTTCTAGAGCTGGTCAGAGAAAATTTTATGGAGCCATATTTTGTCGGAATATTGTGATTCGAATCTAAACACTTCGCAAAGTTGGGTCAATTTTGCTGGGATTCCATTTAGAAAATAATATGGAAAAAAGTTCTGACAATGTTGAAACTTCCTGCACTGTTGAATAGCCACTGAGAACTGCAGTGTGGCAGTCCCCCCCCACCCAGTGACAGTCACTGCTCTGTGCCCCCATGCTGTACTTTAGGATTCTTCTGAATAAAAATAATGCAAATAATTATAATTTCTTCCTCTCTCCTACACTACCTGCTAAATAACCATACTGCTTCAAAGGTAATTACAATTCACCTACCTAAAATATATGTGGTAATCTCAACCAGATAGGGTATTTTTTCAGTTTTTGTCCTAAACTTTTTGTCCTCTGTGTAGTGTTAGTCTGACATATTAAACAGGTCTTATTTTTCATCTCAATGGTGGTTGTATTTCATTAGTGGGTGATTTCTTCATGAAACATAAAATTTGTCATTCTCTAAAATAAGCAATTGTAGATATGGGCCTTGATCCTGCAAAGGCTTATGAATGTGCTTACAGTTAAGCACTTGCACAAGTCCTTGCAATGTCAAGGCTGTAAAATGTAAGCTCCTTAGGGAAAGGATCTCATTTTATTTATCTGTAAAAATCATTGGCAGATCTACGTGCTGTGTTAATAAATGACCATTTAAAACATTATATAAAATTACTACAGGGGCATTAGCATTGCAGCATTAGTTCAATTAACTGCTGACCAACCCCCTTCCCTATGGGAAAGATGTGGGTGGAATGAAGGAGAGGAAAAACAAAAATATTATTTTTAATATGTGATCCCAGATGTGTCCAGCACCTATCACAGATCAAGGCTAATGCAGGCATTGCTTGAAGCAGAGCCTCTGAACTGATCAGCTCTTAGTCCCATCCCTTGCTAGATTGCACTGCTGTGTCCACAGACTCTCCCACAGATTTCCCACCACTGCTTCCAAGGGGGAGAGTTATAGTACAGACAGGAAGCTGGCATTTTGCGCCGCATTGGTGCTTTTCAGTTGTTAATGGCTTCATTTTTATTTGTAGGCGATCGCTGGGACAACAACGAGGCGGCAGCTCCTAGTACAGGGCATCAGACTTTAATTAGTTCTTATCCAGATCCCTCGCTACACAACGGGGCGGGGGTGAGAGCACGCGGTGGTTCCAGCAATCGCCTGTGCCCCGTCCACACTAGCGGGCCAAGTGCGGGGACCCCCGAGCAGCTGAGCCAGTGGGAAAGGCGATGCGGAGGCAGCGAGCGGGGAATCTCGGAGGCTACAGCGATGGCGCGTTGGTTACACGACCTCAGCAGCAAGGGGATGGAAGACACCGGGGGGCTCGCGGAGGCTCTGAGCTACACAACCCCGCTGCGGTGCGGCGGCCTGTCAGAGGGGCCCCGTCCCCCTAACGCGCACACACGCTCGGGACAGTCAGCGCAGCAGCGGTTTGTGCCCCGGCTCGCACACAGCACCGCGCCGGGGGAGACCCGACCTCAGCAGGGCCCAGGTGACAGGGCCCGGGGCCCCCATCAGCCCCGGGGCAGAGCCACACGTACTCACCAGGTGAGCCGCTTCTCACCGGCCTCCATCTTGGCCGCGCTCCCCCCCCGAAGAAGCCCGTGCCCCTTCTCCCGGCAACGGCAAACTATCCCTTCCACGAACCCAGCCACCCCTCCCTCACAGCGCTACCCAATCAGAACCTCGGAGCGCGCTGGACGCGGTCTCACGTGGGTGAGGCAGCCAACCAGAGCCGGAGCTCGAGCAGCACCTGCAGCTCCGTGAGCGGCCATCTTTGGTGTGGGCAGAGCGAGCGGCTCCTACATTGCCCACGCCGGCCCGGTCAGAGAATCCCACCCCTTCCCTCAGGGGGCGCTGCGGGGGCGGGGATTGATGGGCGGGAGTTCCCTCCCCGAGCAGCCCGTCCCGTCCCGAGAGACAGAGTGGGGACGTGGGGGCGGCTCTCAGGGGGACTCCGGCCCAAGGCTGCTTGGCAGCAGCGTGGCCACGTCTGGGCTTCTTTAGAAGGCGCTTTGGTCGCCAGGGAGTTGCAGGGCTCTGGGCTCCTTTTATTTGGCGGTTGCTTATTTGGGCTGTTTTGTACTGGGCGACTTCAAGGCACAGTTCGTTTAAAACGGGTGTACCGTGTAGACGTGGTGTTGGGCCCCTGCACAGGCAGTTCTCCGTCCCCCCTCCCCTTCAGTTAGGAAAACACACCCAAATTCATGAACTTTCTGGCCCGCCCACGTGCCAGTTTTTTGTCCCACACTTGGGGTGCGCTTCAACCGTTCAACACAGAACTGTACCACATTGAGGCAAGAGACCCCGGGGGATGGAGAGAGGGAGGATGCCCTTTTTGAACAACGTGAGTACACACAGCTTTATTGTTTTCATATTTGGAATGCATTACTTACTGTTGTATGCAACAAAATTAGAACTACTGAAAAATGGAATTTGTATAAACAGCTCCTGCCTTCCCTCTGAATGGGGGGAGGGATAGCTCATTGAGCATTGGCCTGCTAAACCCAGGGTTGTGAGTTCAATCCTTGAGGGGGCCATTTGGGATCTGGGGCAAAAATTGGGGATTGGTCCTCCTTTGAGCAGGGGGTTGGATTAGATGACCTTCTGAGGTCCCTTCCAACCCTGATATTCTAGGATTCTATGATGATTCCATGAAATGTGTTGGGCTTGTTTTGAAAGGTAGTGCCACTTTTTGCTCTCATGAGACTTGGCAACCCCATGTCCCCCCAGAGCCACTGAGGGGAGACCTGCCTCCACCCTGTCCCGCTCCGAGGAGGGGCTGGGCCCCCTCAGTCTGGGCTGGGCTGTGTGCTTCAGCTGTCCTGGGTGGCCCCCTGGATCTCCGGGCAAAGGGCGCCTCTGGGCATCCGGCCCAGCCTGGAGGAGAGGAGGGTGGGGGCGAGCAGGGGAGAGGGATGGAGAAGAGGAGGTACACAGCAGGTGGGGGGGTTAGATGAGGGGAGGAAAGAAGGCAGGCCCACTGACAGCAATTCTGGGCCCCAGGGCAGAATAGTCAATGGGCCCCCCACGCACACACAAGCCGTGCCCACGCGGACGCAGTCCACCTGACATTCGGGCGGTGCTATGTCTGTGTTGGCTAGTGCCCAGTGAGCTGCCACCTGTGCTGCTGGGTGCGCTCTTCTGGCACGGTCAGGGCTTCCATTTGCCCACCCACTAAGGTTGCCAGCTGTCCTAACGAGCAGACCCAGAGACCCTTGCCCTGCCCCCTGCCTGCCCCTTCCCTGAGACCATGCCCTGTCCCACCCCTTCTCTGAGTCCCTGCCGCATGCTCACCCCATCCCCCCTCTCTCCGATGTACTCCCCCACCCTCACTCATTTTCACCAGGCTGGGGCAGAGGGTTGGGTGCAGGAGGGGTGCGGGCTCTGGGATGGAGTTTGGGTACAGGAGGGGGTGAAGGGTGGGGCTCCAGGAGGATGTTTGGGTGTGGGAGGAGGTCTGGGGTGCTGGCTCTGGAGGGAGTTTGGGTGTGGGAGGGGGTGAGAGGTTGGGCTCTGGGAGGGAGTTTGGATGCGGGCTTTAGGTTGGGGCAGGGAGTTGTGGTACAGGAGGGAGTCAGGGGAGTGGTACTTACCTTGGACGGCTCCTGAAAGCGATTGGCACACCCCTCTGGCAACGGTTCCTAGGTGAGGGGCCCATGGAATATCTGGGCGACTGCCCCTGCAGCTCCCATTGGTCGCAGTACGGGCCAATGGGAGCTGTGGAGTTGGCACTCGGGGCAGGGGCCGTGCGTGGATACTCCCTCCGCAGGGGCTGCAGGGACATGCTGGCTGGGTCCGTGAGCGGCACGGAGCAAGGGTGGGCAGGAAGCCTGCCTTAGCTCCACTGCCAGTGGCAGCTGGGGGCCCCTGCACCCTTTTAAATCGCCCAGGCCCCATGGCAATTGTCCCCTTTGCCCGCCCCCACCCCCATTGGCGGGCCTGAGAGGAGGGATGAAGCAGGCAGGGGGGCTGTGGGGGAAGGGGGTGGAGTGGAGGAGAGGAAGGACTTAGCAGGCAGCAGTGGGAGGGGATGGAGCAGGGATTGGAAGAGGCGGAGTGCAGGCTTATTGTACCTACCACATAGGATCCTCTTTCTTCCCTTGACTCCCTTTCAGGGGTGGTGGAATCTTCTTAACATTGGGGGGCCATGGGCACCCAAACTGTTGCCCCATCCCACAGTGCTGCCCCTTCCCCCAAGGCTCCTCCCCCCAAAGCCCCGTTCCTGCACTGTCTCTTCCTCCCAAGAAACTCTCCCCCCTCCGGTTGTTCATCCTTATGGCCAGTAAAAAGTGGGAGGTCCATCACCCTCTGACCCCCACTGTTCTAGCACCCCTGCTCAGTTTCCTACAAGCACTCCCTTATGCCACTACCTTTTAATTTTCCGCAGAGCCAGCTCAGCAGCCCTCCCTGTAAGAAATCAGCAGGGAATCACCCACTATGCATAGAGAAGAGTGCATCTCTGTCCTAATATTACAGCACTTAAGCTTTGAATAGAGAGAGAATTTTCTGAGAACTTACAGGTAAATTCATTACAGGAGTTTAAATTAATTTTAAATTAGGTCCTTTAAGAAATTTACCATTCTGTGTCTGCCC